TCCTCTCAGCCAGCCCTGCCCCGCGATCTCCCCCAAACAGCTTCACTTCCCCCACCAGCCAGTTCCCTCCCCCGCGATCTCCCCTGGCCAGCCCTGCTTCCGCTGGCCGGTTCCCTCCCTATCTCCCCCGAGCACCTCCACTGCCCCGACCCTGCTTCCCTGCGGCCCATATCCAACCCCTCCTCCCCCGCAGCCAGCAATAAGAGCTCACTTGGTAACCCTCACTATGCCTCTGCCGGGAGCCTGAAACATACGGCTGCATCCGCCCAGCCCGGCTGAGGGCTCGGGGAACCTGGCGCTCACGGACAGTCCGGGAGCCCGGGACACCCTGGCAGCCACACTGAGGCCCGCTATTTTTTTCCCGCGGCCCGGTACCGGGCCATGGCCCATCGTTTGGGAAACGCTGCCTTAATGGAAAACCTGCCGGAAACTCTCACAGGTTTCTTGTTCATACGGCTGCATCCGCCCAGCCCGGCTGAGGGCTCGGGGAACCTGGCGCTCACGGACAGTCCGGGAGCCCGGGACACCCTGGCAGCCACACTGAGGCCCGCTATTTTTTTCCCGCGGCCCGGTACCGGGCCATGGCCCATCGTTTGGGAAACGCTGCCTTAATGGAAAACCTGCCGGAAACTCTCACAGGTTTCTTGTTCCATCTATAATACACATGATGTAAGTGGGGGGACTTTCCACAAAGAAACCTAGAGCAATTGGATGGATGGATTAGCATGCATAAGAATTTGAGAGCCACAGGAATGGCCATACTGGGTCAGACCATGGTCCTGTGTCCGCTCTCCAACAGTGGCCCCAGGGAGAGTGTGCGGAACAGGGCAGTTTTGGAGAACTCTACCCCGTCCTCCCCTCCTAGCTTCTGTCATTCAGAGGTTTAGGGTTGCTCTTACCTTCCCTGCCATCTTGGCTAATAGCCATTGATGGACCTGTCCTCCCCCAACTCACCTCATTTTTTTTTTTTGAAACCAGTTATAATTTTGGCCATCACAGCATCCCCGGCAAGAGTGAATTCTACATTGTGTGAAAATGTGTTGCCTCTGGTTCCCATCAAATGGCCTTGTTTTCAAATATTTTGCATATGTGTGCATCTGCTTTGGCGGGGCCACTGCCTTTAGGGAGGGATCGGCTTTTAACGTTTGCTTGTGGCCTCTTCCAAAGGTCATTCTATTCTAATGGCCTATTGAGCTGAGATATGGGTGCTCTTGGGGGAAACGGGACACTGACACTGCAGCAAGACAATTAGCAAATTGGTTAGCAGTTTGTCATGAGAGCTAATGAACCTATCGGTAGCTATTCACATCCACACGGTTTAGCAGCGCCGGGTACTCTGGGTCTGTCTAGCGTATGGATGTGTTTGCAAATTGAAGTAGCATTGTTAAATCGAAGGTAATGAAATAATCTACTGAAAGAATGTGGTGCTGTCTAGCCCACTGAACCACAGTGTCACTCTTCTGGAAACCTGCCCCTAGTAGGTGTGATTGGTCTGTTAGGTTAACGCACATTGTTAGAATCTAACACAGGTGGGCTCTGAGGGATGCCAGACACAGTGAGCAGGGACTACAACTATCCGAGAGCGAGAGTCAAACTGGATTAGGCACTGATGGAGAAAAAAATCCTGGCTTTGAGGTGGGATGCTGTGTGCATCACATGAGTGCTGTGCTTTTCTTTGCCCTCCCGCTACCTGCCGGGGCCTCTCTTGTGACGGCACAGAATTCAGCAGCTGACCCAGATGCCTTACACTGAACGACTCGCTGATTTAGGCACCGGAAGAGAATCGAGTGCTTGGGTGAATGTTGCTCCAGCTTTGAACAGTTCTGTTATTTGCTGTTGCTAAGTCCTGGGTAGCAGCTGTAAGCATAAGAACGGCCGGACTGGGTCAGACCAAAGGTCCATCTAACCCAGTGCCCTGTCTGCCCACAGTGGCCAGCGCCAGGTGCCCCAGAGGGGGTGGACTGAAGACAATGATCGAGCAGTTTGTCTCCTGCCATCTCTCTCCAGCCTCTGACAAACAGAGGCCAAGGACACCATTTCTATCCCCTGGCTAATAGCCTTTAATGGTCCTAACCTCCATGAATTTATCTAGCTCTTTTTTAAACTCTGTTATAGTCCTAGCCTTCACAGCCTCCTCTGGCAAGGAGTTCCACAGGTTGACTATGCGCTGTGTAAAGAAGAACTTTCTTTTATTAGTTCTAAACCTGCTACCCATTAATTTCATTTGGTGTCCTCTAGTTCTTCTATTATGGGAGTTAATTTCATTCCTCTAGACATGAGCATTAATATCTTCTCTTGAGCCTTGGGGAGCAGTGGGCTGTTGCCTGCTCTCTTCACCCATCACCAAACACACACTCTAGGAATCATGCCAAATGGAGCAAATGTGGCAACGCTAAACTGTGGTCATAAGAGATGGAGGTTCCATTTGCGCTGGGTGCCTGGAGGCACCGGGTGACGCTGTTGCATGTTTTTCTCTCGCGTGCGAGCAGGCTCTGAAGTGCTGTTAGTTTTGTGATACATTGTCTATCTGGGGGAGCTGTTGCAAACAGCAGGTGCATTCGCGCTCTGCCTGCATCTCCCCAAAAGTCTTTCTTTACCCCAAGGTGCCAGGATGCCTGAAGCTGCAGTTGAAGGGTCCCTAGCTGCAAGCACCTGCTTGACACTAATGCACATAATGTTACTGACGCTGTTGATTTGAGTTACTCATTTGTGTATGATTAGAGGATTGGGCCCACTGTAGCATGTGTGTGTTTGGCCCCTGGCCAATCTGGATCATCGTCTCACCAGTCAGTTATGGCACAGGTAGTATCACACACGGCCCTCTCTCGTACGATGCTCTATTGGACCCAGAATCCTCCTTTGACTCAGCTCTTTGCAGACATGGTTCCTTACTACCCTGCCCCTTGTGCAATCACACTTGTGCAAAAGCGGCATCACCAACTGCCCTGTCACAATAGTAGTGTTTTACACATCCTTTGTGCAGGTGTGAACGGAGGAATGGGCCATGCATATTTTCACACACATCTCATTGGACCCCAGGCTCAAACCACCCACGCTTGGTAACTGCCGAGTGGGGTGGAGAGGAAATTGCCATCTGCCAGTCATCAGAGGAGCCAGGGCTTTGACGAGCTGCCAGTCTCTGAGTCTTAAAAGCACAGGCTGAGCTCAGTCACTGCTGCTGCTTGCTGCGTTTGATCGTGAGACCGAGACTTTCCAGCACAGCGCGCTCCAGGCCTTGACATTTTGCAGTGGAGTCTGGGGTGAGGTATTCTGCATATACGCCTGACTATGTTTTCTCTCTCCAGATCGCAGCGAGAGAGAGCACGTTACCCGATGAAAGGGAGTTTTGTGCGGCTGTCAGGACAATCACAGAAGCTGTCGAGCTAAAACTATCAGCTCTTAAATACCATTGTGCTCGTAAAAAGAGTGGAATGCACGGTCCGTGCCGGCTGGTATTTAAAGACAAGCGTGCTAGGAAAACAAGTTGCCTCAGCTCAGTATCGAAGGAGCCCATTTCCAGTGCTGTTCATGCCAGCGAGGTGATCAGTGACCTGCGGATGAAGGAGGCCACGCTGGAGAGGGAGCTGAAGCGGCTGCAAGAGGAGTGCCGACACAAGCTGGATGAGATTGCGGAGGGGCTGGTTGGAGTGATTTGTATCCCACCTATGAAGAGATGAGACCTCCCCAAGAAAGGACAAGGGGCAGAGCTGTTTGATCAGCAGACACGTTACAAACCAGGGCCCGAGGGTGGGTGACATGAAGGTCTGAATGTAGTTCTAATTCTCAGCCTTGAGAACACAATTTGTCACTTCTTTGTAATATGCTTTGGGGCCAGAACACTGCATCCCCTTATTTCTTAGCTTACCGATTAAATTCTGCAGCAGATGCAGGAGGGGGTGGGGTGTTCTTAAATCTTTCATCTAGATTTCTGATGCTAAGGCCAGGCACGGAGCTTCACTTTCAGGGCTCTCAGTTTCTAGATGCACCTGTTTGCAGGTCTGCAGGATGAAACACGAACTACAATCAGCATTCACCACAAGGGAGAGTATTTATCTCTCTTAAAAGCCCTGCTGCTGAGCAGAGAGGAGTGCAGCCCTTCGTGCTGAAAGGCACGCAAGGCACCGAGAACGAAAGCTGTGTGAAATGTGTGGGAAAGGCTGCTAGTTAGTTCAGCTCATTAGAATATTGTGTGGCAAAGCCAAGAATACATACAATTATCACAAAACGCCAATAAAAGTGATATTTTCTATATTCACAGGCATGATGCTCTTCAAACGATCAGATTGTCTAGAGAAACACCCGTTTTTATTCACCTGCGTACTCAGCTCTGAAGCACCATAATATAGTGTGTGTATTCATTAGAGAACGCTTCTGTGCAATGGAAATAAGCCCTTACAGTCCAGGCGTTAAGGAACCCCGTGGTCTACCTCTGCAGACTCCCCTCCCCATTTGGCATTTGCTTTTTGTTCCTATTTGCTGTCAGCAAGAAACATGCTTTTAGCCACATCATTTTCCTTCAGAAATACAGCCCCGCTTTGCTACCGTTTGTGAATTGCTCTGATCACAGGGATTTCTGCCCTTTGCCCCCAGCTCATCTGCGACTCGAGAGCCAAAAGTGCAAGTGCATTTCAGGTCATTGTGTTAGCGCCATGGAAGTCGTGAGAAGAAGGAAGGTTGGGGCAGAGGGGCCAGGACAGACTCTTCAACCCGCTGCCCTTCTGGGAGTGTAACATGCTGCCAGATCTGACTTCTCTCGTGGCCGCGCTTCCATTGTGTTTCTCGTGTTTTATGCAGACGACCCCAGGCCTGAGAGTGGGTGCCCAGCCTCGGCCCGGCGGAAAGCCCCGTCACCGACCTGCTTCTTGCTTGCGTGATGTGGCACCACGGCTTCAGTTTGGACAAAGCAGAGCGGGGTGCGGTGCCGCATGACGGCTTCATGAGCCAGTCTGGAGGCTCAGACCTGTGGGCTGCGTGAGCTCTCTGGGCTCCCAGGTAGTGGGGCACTGGCATGAGCAGTGGAGCCCCTGTGGCCAGGGCCACGCAGACTCTCCCATGTAGCTCTGGGGCTTGCTGGGTGTGGCCTCGAACTAGCTGTTGTGGAGAGAGTTGACTAGGGTGTGAGCCCCACTGAGGTAGAGAGAACAACTGTATTACAGATAGACCCCCCCAAGCCCTTCTCCCACAAGGCCACAGCCTAGTGCCCTGCACAGAGCCGTTCCTGTACTCGGTCGCTGGAACTCAGCTCCGGCCTCTCGCTTACCAGGCTGGGCTATTGCTTCATGCCAAGCCTCTCCCCTGACGCTAGCTTTCATCTCTCGGCTGCTAATCCTGGGACACAAACTCATTGCCTAACTGCAGATATTTGTCAGTGGGGGTTTAATATTCCACTGGCAATCGCGCTCCAGTCTAGACGGGAACTGGCAGAAGATGGGTGCCCTGCTCGACCCTGATTATTTCCTCTCTGGAGAAATATGAAAATTGGGTTGCTGTGAAAACAGCAACAGTGTCTTGGGCAGCTGTATTTCCAAGCAAGTGGTGTCATTGAAGGGGCACTGTCTGAGCAGACACGTTAAATCCTCTATTACTGGCCTTGGCGCTGCCGCTTAGAGATTCTCAAACCAGTCCTTGTACCACTGGCGCCATTTGGCTACTGTTTGCACCTGAGACCAGCCAGTTTAACTGCTGGGCCAGACTTCCCTTGGCCTGGCATCGCATGTGCTCACTCACCCACACGGTGTCTAGAGTGGGTTTAAAATGCTGCCACCGCCATGAGCGGGGCGTTCTTTGAGTGCCTGCTCGTGTCCGTTCCATTGCAGTGTGTGTGTGTGTGTTTGCCCCAGGCACGGTGCCGGCGGTGTCCCCTCAGTGGTATCCGTGGGACTGCAGCTGGCACTTGCCGATGGTGGCAACCCAGAATCACCAGCTGCTTAAATCTCCAGGGCCAATTTCATTTTCCTAGCAAGATGTTTGGAAGGCAAATAATTTGGTCAGCAGGCACCAATGACAGCAGAGAAGCAGGTTAAGCATCAGGCCTGGGCAAACGCCCCCGTGGTAGCGTATTCAGTGGAGACGCATGGAGTATCTGCACTGGAACGGCATAGCCTCCATGAGTAGCCGCCTCCTGGCACACACTTGGAAGGGGCCCTTCGCCCAGTACTGAGGTCTGCCAAAGGGCTTTCTGGGTTGCATTTCACAGTCAGAAATACTCTTCCAAAAATAGCCAGTCCCCTGCCATCGCTGCATCCCCTGAAACTGTGTCTGCTGGCAAAGGGCTCTGGGAAGTAGTTCCTTCCAGCCATGTACGTTGACGGTGTCCCCTCGTTTCCCTGGACGCTCTGCATCCCTGCGCTTTCTGGTTAGTTCTCTGAGTGCCCTGCTGAGAACATCTCCCCGACAGTGACCCACATGCCCCCAGAGCCTCGGCTGTGGGCAGGCTCACACCCAGCACTGGACGTCCCAGAGTCAAACGGCTGCCCGCTCCCCTACTCCCAGCTCTGCAGGAGGCTGCCCACGTATTGCACAGTGCCCTCCCACTCTCCCCGTGCTGGGAAACATCTCTTCTGTGCTCGGTCTCTGTTCCCTCCTTGTCTCTCAGCCCTCAGGCACTGGCTGTGCCGAAGCACTTTGCATAGGATCCCAGGGCGGGCAGAGACCTCGGGAAGTCAGAGTCCAGCCCCCTGTCCAAGGCAGGGCCAACCCCAACTCAATCGTCCCAGCCAGGGCTTGGTCAAGCCGGGATGGAGACTCCACCACCTCCCATTGCTCCTCGTTCTGCCATCTGCTACCACTGAGAACAGCCTGGCTCCGTCCTCTCAGGGAGCTAAAGGCTGCTACCAAATCCCCCCTCACTCTTCTGCAGACTAAACAGACCCAAATCCCTCAGCCTCTCCTCGTGCTTCCTGTGCTCCAGCCCCCGAATCATTTTTGTTGCCCTCTGCTGGACTTACTTCCGTTTATCCACATCCTTTCTAGAATTGGACGCAGCACTCCAGATGTGGCCTCCCCAGTGCTGAATCAAGGCAATTATTACGTCCCTAGATCTGCTGGCAGCGCTCCTGCTAATGCAGCCCAATATGCATGGCTACAGGGGCACCATGTTCACTCATATCCAGCTTCTCCTCCACTGTCATCCCCAGGTGCTTTTCTGCAGAACTGCTGCTTACAGTGGGCAGTAGGCCAGCTAGTCCCCTTCAGAGCTGTGTAGGGGCTCCCATTAGGTGCCGCAGGATTCCAAGCAGGCTGCAGCACGGGGTGAGGTTCAGGTTGCTGGAGGGAGGAGAGGTGGCACAGTGCCACTGCTCTGCTTGCTGCACCATGTGGGCACCGTCAAGGGAAGCGAGAAGGAGGTGAGTGGCTCAGGCGACTACACAAGCAAATGTAGGTCTTGGAAAGTTGCTGCCGGCTCAGGCAGGGATAGGCACCACAGTCCTGCCCTCCCACCGCCTCCCAGCTTGGCCTGCATAAGCACAGAGCATGTGACCTTCTAGCACAAAAACGCCAAATGATGGGGACTCCGCCCTGTCCATGGGAGCTGTTCCACGATCAGTTCCTCATGCTGTTAACGTCTGCACCTTACTTCTGGCCGGAATTACCTAGCGTCAACTTCAGCCACTGGGTTCTGGTCTGCTTTGTCCTGCTCGGTAAAAGAGCCCTTGGGATCAGAAATCTGCCTGGGCAGGCCTTGTGTGCTGGGATTGGTACCTCAACTTTCCCTTGGAGAAGCTACCTAGAGCTGCAAGGCAGCTTCTCCAGCGTGGGAATCACTCCCCTCACTTTCCAGGTCCCCAGCAGCCCTTTGGAGGGTGTATCCCAGGCTTGGACACACTGTTCCAGCAGTGGCCTCTGCCATGTGCAGAAGGATTAGCACCTCCCTTCTACTCGAAACTCCCCTGGTGATGCAGCTTTGCAGCATTCCACGGCTCGGCCCAAGCAGCCCCAGGATTCCCGTTGGGAGAAAGTTCTGGGATTGAAAGAGACATGGTTATCAATGCTCCCAATCCAAATGTCCAGAGAAGCGCAGTGGAAGTCCTGGCATTGTGTGGCCTATCCTAGGGGACACGCTTATGGAAGAACATAGACAAGCCAGAAGTCACTAGAGTGCGTGAAGGGTAATGACTGTAGGAAATGGACTTGCTCTGTGTTTACACAGATGGATGTCACCAAAATACTCTGGATTTACACCAGAGTGAGAGGGCAGAAAGGCCATCGTCTCTTGTTTTCCCCAGGACAGTATAGCTTTGTGAATGTGCTGAATCGAATTCTTGCAATGCCATAACAAAACATCCCCACTGTCCTATCCCCACCAAGTCTGAACAAGTCTATGGAAGGGACAAGTTGGAAGGACAACACTCCTGCTAAGCAAAGGCTAGGCCAAAGATGTGGCATAAATATTATCTCACCCAAATGCATTTGCTAGCACTGCTAACTAACTAACAGACCTCTGGTTTGTACCATTCGGGTCTCTGTCCCCGCTGGATTAGCAAAGATTTAATGTGTTTGTACAAGTGGCAGCACTTCTACTGTGTCGGTTCTGTACCGTGTTGTATTTTACTTTGTTTTCTAAACCACAGGTAGAGTGGCTGGGGCCAGGCCACACAGAGAGCAGCGATGTCTCCCGGGTTAATCTGTAAGGTCACAGAAAGGCCCCCGACTGGTTTTGGAAACACAGGAGATTTCTCCAACGAGAGGGCATCAGATCCACGATCTCTTATGTCATTTTCACAAGGTGACTCTTAAAGGAAGGAAGCGCCCGTAATTCATCGCAGGGCAGTTTGCTCTATGGACTTTATGGCTCTGGGATTTAATATTAATTCATTCAGGTCCCTTAAAGTAAATGAGTTTTCTAATTAGATTTTTAAATGCATTCTTCATGCTTACACTGATTAATTTTAAAAGCACTAATGTGTATTTTGTGATATTAACCTTCGTACGGAGATGCCGCTATTCTGCTTGACGAATGCCACTCGCATGGCAGTAATGTAATGTCCTTAAAACACCTGCTACAAATGACAACATGCTGTAAATGAATATGGCTGCTCTGCACATCGGAGCCTGGCTGACTTCCAGCCTGTGGATTCCGAAGGAGGGCAGAGCCCTCTGCGCTGGCGTTGGCTCGGCTGTGCCAAATAGGCCCCCGCCTTTAAACAGAGCTGCTGCCAAGGGGGCCCTTGAATGAGGGAGCCCTGCAAATCACTGCCGCCCCCACCACCCATCTCCCAGGGGCTGGCAAAGGACCTTTCTACCCACCCACCTCCGCACTCATCCAGCCTGTGGATTCCGAAGGAGGGCAGAGCCCTCTGCGCTGGCGTTGGCTCGGCTGTGCCAAATAGGCCCCCGCCTTTAAACAGAGCTGCTGCCAAGGGGGCCCTTGAATGAGGGAGCCCTGCAAATCACTGCCGCCCCCACCACCCATCTCCCAGGGGCTGGCAAAGGACCTTTCTACCCACCCACCTCCGCACTCACT